TTCTCTGCTGATGTGCTGTTCCAGTAGTTTTTGGATAATCTTCAGTAGAATCTTGCTTGCATGTGAAATCAATGATATTGTTCTATAGTTTCCACACTCTGTTGGTTCTCCCTTTACTAGTTATAGCAAATTTCTTGCTTCCTGCCCCTCTCCCTCTCTCCAAGACCAGTACTTTTTGTGGGAAGGAAGGCAGGCTTTCAGAAACAGCTTGACTTTTAGACACAATAGAAAAGCTTATAAGGTAAAAAATACCAGGGAGGTACTCAGACCTTATAGCAATTAATCAAAAAGGTCAAAAGGACAGTGTGCCCTCAGGCGTTAAGCTCAGAAAACAGAAAGGGGTAAGATGGAAAAAGTAAAGGAAACAAGAATCTCAGTAAATGAGAAAAATGTCATAATGTAAAGATTATAATTGATGTCATAAAACAAAATGTGTATAAATGTTGGATGAAAAACCAGCTTGGTCTGTAAACTTTCATTCACATAACAATAAAAATAATAAAAACAAAACAAAAAAAGTCACCCAAAGTATTAATTCCAAAAACTGCCTTAACTTGGGATGTTCTTTACGTCCTGGTATTTCCCAAGAATGATGGCAAAAATTAGTAGAAAGTTATTTAGAATGCAAGTGTAATTAGTAGAGAAAAATATAACAAGATGTTTCTGGTAGTATGTAAATTTATGCTTATCAATTGAATTGAGTCTAGTTATAGTTTGCCTTTGTTAGGAAAGTTTTCTTTTCCCTACAGATTCTATTAATTAAACTAAATAAACAAACACACTAAGGTAAGGAAGCCTCAGAAGAAAACCTCATTACCTCCTGTTGCCTGACCAAAAAGACATCAATGAGGCTACGTGGATCATTTTTGTCAAGTTTATGACGATGATGTAGGAAAGTCATCCTTATAAAAGAAAACAATTCCTTTACATTCCGCAATACAGTTTTATGACTTTGCAGCAGGCATCCCAACACTGGAAACATATTGAAAAGCTAAAAAAGTGAGATCAACAAAATAAATGAAATAAGCATAAATATTACTTGTAATTGCATTAATACCACCATTGTTTCTGAAAATGTTATAGAAATATCATCTCATCGGAACTTGAATTATCACAACTGACAATGGAAGATTAAACAATGAAATTTCAGAACTAAGTAACTGAATCTGAATGTTGCTATGACTTAAAAATTCTATGCCCTCAGAATACCTTTGTACAAATTGTTTGCATAGTTTACTTAGGGGCTAGACGGCATATAAAATTGATGGTGTTATTTGCTACAAACTTCGCAAAATCCTAGAAGATTCCAGGAAAACAATTTTCGTTTTGGTAAAAACAAATTTATTAGTGATATGTTTTGTAGAATCAAAATATGTATATTTTAATTCTCAACAGGCCTATCTAAAGCTCTTAGAGAACAGCGTCACTTACTTTAATATTCACTGACTCCTTAAAAAAATCCCGGAGAGTAGAGAAGCTATGGTATATTTGCACAATGGAATACTAAGCTGCATTGAAAAACAAGGAACTCATGCAATATTATTCAAAATGGGTGACCCTGGAGGACATTATGCTGAGTGAGGTATCTCAGTCACAAAG